GGGAGAAAATCAGTAGGAAGACGCCAGAACCCATGGCTAAAAGATTTAAGGAGATGGTTTGAACGGTCGTCTGCCGAAATCTTCCCGGCTGCAGTTTCCAGAGCCACAATTGCCATTTGGATCGCCAACCTTCGACAGGAGAGGGCGTGATAAGAAGATGAAGAATCAACAATAGATAAATGAATCTATGTAGTGTGCATCCAAATTTAGGACACGGTGTACAGTTTTTGTTTTTAATATCCGTTTATTTATTTTTTTCTGAAAAGCATTGAAGCATAAATAATCAAGTATTTACTTGATCCGAGAGAATCATCGATCAAAACTATTGTATTGTCGAATGTAAAACATACATCAGGGATTTCTAACAGCGTAATTGCAAAATTACCATAATTTAAACTGAGTCTGTATATAGAATATGTGTAATAACACCGTAAATAGCAATGCAGCCTATTGAAATGAGTTAACAGCATGTGCGACACGTTAATTGTATAGGTTTTATTTGTAATTTGCCGGTGTTTATTTTTTTGTTAATTCTATTTTTGCGAAATTAATATTATTTTTTAATGTAATTATTTAAATTGTCATAATTTACATAATTATTACTTATTTTTTTGTAGATTTGGGTCTGGGAAAATTTCGACAACAAACTCATGATACTTTTTACCCCCACTGTACCTTCCTTGTGGATAAAGCAAGAATGGTGTCCCATTTAAAAAAATTATACTTTATACCAATATCCTATGTATAAGTAATGGAACTCAGGGTTGGAAAAAATCATGATTTTTTTAAAAAAAGTAATTTTAACGCCTAGGCATAAAAGTAAAGCACTTTTACGCCGAACGTCCGAATAACTTTACGCTGATCCGTGAAAGCCTCATCCAAAAAAAGTATAATTTTTGCTCCTAATAACAGGAAATAGTCTTAAATCAAGAATGAAATTAGTATTATCTAATATCAAAGTAGATATATGTGCTATACAAATAATTTTTACTGTAGTTTTATAACATTTACAACTGTTTTTCATTTTATTTTTTTACATTAAAATGTAAACGTTACAATAGCAAGTGTAACATTATATTTGATGGACAGATATAGGGTATATCTGCTGTAGAAATATTTGTTATAGTTTTCTAGGACACAATATTATAACTTTTACAGTTATTTTTCGATTTATCATAAAGTTTTAAAAAAGTTGATTTTTTTATTTAAATCACATGATTAAAATTTAATAAAATCACCTAATTTAAATCACGATTTAAATCATAATTTAAATCATGCCAACCCTGATGCAACTTGATTAAAAACCTTATAATTTTTATTAATGTATGTTTTATAGCCAAAAATAAATAAGTTATTGGCAGTTAAATATGGGACGAAATAATAGTAAAGCACTGTACAGGGTGAGTCAACGATAGAGTCAAGTCCATTATCTCATTTGTTTCGAGGTTTACAAAAAAATATTAAACGTAAAAGTTATAGGGAAAGTTAAGATACACATTTTGAAATTATTATAGAGTGTACAGGGTGCTTCAAAAAAGTGTAGCGAATATAACAAGAAAAACATATTTTTTTGTTCAGTACTATATATTATATAGTACTTTGCTAAGTACTAGAAGTATAGATGTAGATTATTTAGAAAACATCTTCAGTGTGTAATGGGAATGGGATGGTTTCACGGCAGTAGTAATATTGGCTTTACCAAATGAATAATTACAAACCAGAATTATAAAAAATTGTCAGTGATGGCATTGTTTCTCAAGTTGAACAACCAAAATTTAGTAGGAGAATTTTATAGAGATATAGAAAAAGATCTATGTAAAGATATTTTAGTTAGATGCTACAGAGTGTTCAAAATATATTTATGAATTTCAACTAAGTATTTAAAATTAAGAAATTTCAATTTTTTTAAATGGGATTTGTTCCAATTTTTTAATACAATTACGCTATAACATCATAGTTGCCATGACAAGAAGTAGTAATTATCAAAATTTCAATTAGCAAAATTTGAATTTTAGTTTAATTTGTTGTAATATAAGTATAAATGCTAGCGATAATAGTTACAGATTTTCCTGAAATGAATTGGTTAATGTGACTGATATACTCGAACAAGGCAAGAAAAACATATTTTTTGGTTCAGTACTATATATTATATAGTACTTTGCTAAGTACTAGAAGTATAGATGTAGATTATTTAGAAAACATCTTCAGTGTGTAATGGGAATGGGATGGTTTCACGGCAGTAGTAATATTGGCTTTACCAAATGAATAATTACAAACAAGAATTACTACGAGAAAAAAAACTTTACTGTATGACCAACAATTATTTTGTTGTAATCCGCTCTAAATACATAATTTTCGGGTTAAACAATACATTTAAAGAGTCCACCTTGTACATCGTACATCCGTGTTTTAATAATTCAAACACCACCCGTCAACCGTGAAACTCCTTTACCTCCCCTTTCTATAGCCACTCTTAGGTCCCCCATCCCGACTGGCCAACCAACCCCTGTTTAAAGAGCTTTAACAACAGCACCATCGACTTATTTGGCGGGAAACAAGTCTTCAGTCCCTCAGGCCGTGTTCACATCGCAGCATTAATCAGCTGGCTGAAATAATTAAGCAACATTTATAACGGACTATTTTGACGAAACCTTTGATATTTTTGCGGTGGTCTGTCGTGAGATCAAACTGTGTGATGTTTGAATTTTGATAAGAAACTTTGTGCAACTGTCGGTAGTACATAGACATATTACAAACGGTTAATATACCTAGAGTTCAGTTGTGCGTGCGTTTTTTTTTCTAGAGTGATTTTTAACGTTTTATGAGTTTTAAGTTAGGAAAGAAGTGGAAATAAAAGTTTTATTACTCTCTTTTATGGTGCCATGCGAAGAAATGGATGTGAATGCTATGTGTTGGGGGACTTGAAAATGTTGACCGTTATTTTAGATAAGGTTTGTGTGAGGCTTGTTTGTAAACTGTAACGTATATATTTATATATTTCTCTTTTTTTGACTTATATTTGTGTATCGCAAAGTATAAATATCGAAAATAATTTTAAAATGCATTTCTATTGATTAAAATTTACCATTTTTATGGCTTTTTAGACATTGAAACAAATAAATAGTAGTTTTCTATTTTTAATTCAAAAATTCTATGCTTTTTAATTTTATATCTATTTCAGCAATTAAAAGTCCAGATACAATAATAATCTGCCTTAATCCAAGTCTAATAACAGCCCATTTTTTAATGTCATTAAGTGGCCAAAGTGTTAAATAAGTACTCATTGATACCTCATTAAAAATATATACAAGTTTCTATAAACATGCGTACAGAAATGCTTACTTTTAAAGTAGGTACAGTAGGGTGAGCCAAAAAAAAGTATTGAATTTATGGGTTAAAATGAACCTAATAACCAGGGTTGGCATGATTTAAATCAAGTGATTTTTTTTAATTTTAATCATGTGATTTAAATCAAAAAAAAATATTTTATTGAAACTTTATAATAAATCAAAAAATAACTGTAAAAGTTATAAAAATGTGTCCTAGAAAACTATAAAAAATATTTCTATAACAGATAATAAATCGAAAGTAATTTTAATATATATAATAATTCCGCTTCTCGTATTTTGTTTATCGAAAATAATTTTAAACGTTAGAAAACGATATAAAAATAACTATTCATCAATTTAATTGTTGGACCGATTTTTGAACTAATTTCGTGTGAATTCATTAGACCGCTAAACGCAGGGATTTTAAAATTTATGTATAAGTGACAAAAAATCGCTGTTCGAAAGTTCGAATACATATCATTCGCAAAGTCTAATGCAGAACTAGGTTCTTATATAGAACCTATACCTTCATTCCCGAGATTCTACAATCGTTGTCAGAAAATATGTTGTTTTATATTTTTTTTTGACACGGTTGTGTGTTTCCAAATTCCTACCGACATTTTGATCGGCAGTACTTTACACTTTGACATTTTATAATACATACTAATTTCATTCTCGACTTATAGACTATTTCCGAACAATAATGTAGTGTATTGTTTTATTAGGAGTAAAAATTATACTTTTTTTGACGATGCTGTACCTTTGGAGGACAATCGTAAAGCTATTTCGACGTTACAGGGAGGCATAAAAAGTACATGTTTAATTCGAATAGAACATACTATTTTTTTAAACATAACAAATATTTTTTAATCAATTTCAAACATTGCAAATAATGTAAACAGTAATCGAGCAACAATTTATACACTCGTTGAATTTGATACTTAATATCAGTTTATAATATATTTTTGTACTTTTGTGCTTAGGCGTAACAGTGCTTTACTGTTATGTCTAGGTATACGCCCCGTAGAATTATTAATGTTATCGGTATCGGGGTATAGATTTAGCCATTTAGTATAGGACTTTAATCGGAAATAAGTCCTAGTCATTTGGAAATCCGATTTAAATATTGTTTTGAATTAAAATCAAAAAAATCTGATTTCAATAAAAAAAATCTGATTTTTTTTATTTTTTTAAAAAAATCATGATTTTTTCCAACCCTGCTAATAACCGAGAAAAAAATATCGCCGAAGGCAGGATTTTTAGCTCAGTTTTAAAAGGTGTCGGTGAACATTCAAAGAATTATGTATCACTGTAATCACAAAACTTCAATCTATTTCTGTATTGTAACGGAATTTTAAATTATGTCTTTGTTTTCGAGAAAATTTAGTCCAAACATAAGGAATATTTTGTTGATGTTTGACTATCAAAATCTTAAAAATAAAGAACTTGTCTAAAATGTGCTATAATACGGATATAGTATAATCCTTAATCTTTAATTTCCTTGTTTATTTGTGTAAAAATACCTAGCCAGTTTTAATTAAAACGTTAAATGCCGAACGCTTATTTCACTACTTTTTCGGACTTGTGAAATGGACTCTTCAAATCGTCTTCAATATGATTATAACGCATTGTTAAAAAAATATTTCTAATCCCATAAATCTTTCTTTACAGATGGCATCGTTACCCCTATCTAGGAGCTCCACGTACTCAACATCCGAATCTGAATCGTCCGACGATCTGCTGCCGTCTTCTTGCAGTCTCCAGGAAATCCGGCAGGAAGATTTGGCCGCCATATTGCCCGATCAGAGCGAGTGTAACGACTTCAACGATTTCGATAAGAATGATAAGGTGCGTAGGCGAAAAAAAAGTGTTTTTACTAAATCGCAATCTTTATTTTTTTTGGTAGTATGGATGACTTTTTTAGTGGAAACCCCGAAATTTTCCGAATATAATTTGGACCACCCTGTATACTTGATTGTCTCTTTTTTATATGGGGTTTCAATTAAAAAAATTCATCCATACTACCGAACACAATAAAGATTGAACACTTTTACTAGAAATTAATGTATATCCTAAAATGCTTCGTTTCGGAGATACAGGGTGTAGACGGTACATTTTGTTAGTGCTAACTTTAGAAGAACTTAATTCAGTTACATAAATACAGGTTTCTGTTTTACATTGTAAACGTTCTTCTAAACATGAACACGCAAGAAATTCCTTGCGGAAATTCATCGTTTTTATTTTTAAACAGATTATAGTGTAATAAATGTTAAAGCTTCATTCAGAACCTCGCAATTAGTGGAATAAATTAGTGGTTTTAATTACACTTTATACTTTTTAGTTTACGATCAATGTTTAAAAAGCACAATTAAAATTAATAGAATATCCTAGCAACAGCTTAATAGAGAAAATCTAATATAATTGCTTATAAAACAATCAATTTTTGATTTCTAACCACTGTTTCTCTTGACGGAAGATAATCAAAGACCAAAATGACATTTCTCGCAAATTTTGAAGTATAATTAGTGGAAAAGTTAAAAGTTTCATCACTTTTTCTACTAATTGAAAATGTCTACTACTAATTTTGACGTTCTGGATGCTTACATTGAAATTAAAGGAACAAACTTATTATATATTATTATTATACCGGCACGGACAAAAATTATTACGCTTCAAAACAGTTAAAACACATGTAGGTGGCGCCCTCTAACAGTAGGATTCATATTGACATCAAAATCAAATTTCTCATGTCAAAAAACTCCCAGACACCAATTTTTATCCAAATATTGACATTACTTCAGAAATTATTTGGAAAAAATCGAAATAAAAATGAAATTTCTACACCCTATATCTCCGAAACTAAGCATTTTAGGATATACATTTATACGAACTTTTTTACTTATTTTTATCTGCAGAATACGCTGCCGAAGTTTCTGGAATACAGTTCGGATCACCCTGTATATGTTTTTCGTTTTTAGGGCTCTCCGGCCACTGGCGACATGTCCGGCTCCGACATGGAACTACCTCAACAAGCCATCAACTCCCTCATCCAACGCACTACCGAGTCTTCCAGCGACGGCGAAGGCCACCAACTGCCCAACCCTCAAACTCTCTTCGCCAACAGTCTCTTACAACCCTTCGTACCCGCCAACAATCCTTTGCTAACATCCCCCACAGCCACTCAACCTTTAAACGAAGCAACTACCGACAGCTCCACGATACTTCAAACGAAACAGTCCAACGGAACTAACAGTACTTCTAATAACAGCCTCAGTAGTTCAAATGTACCGAACATCTCTAGCAAGGTTTTGAGCGATGACGCTCAATCGAAAACAGACGGGAGTGTGGTTGGGGGTGTTAAGAAACGAAGGGGTAGACCTGCCAGGCCGAAGAAAGGTGCGGGGAGGGGTAGGCTGAAAGAGAAGACGGAGGATGAGGGGGAGAAGGTTTCGGATGGGGGAGGGTCGCAAAAGAATGTCCAGGATTTTTGTGGGGGTCCGAACGTTAGTCCTGATTCGGGTAAGACACGATTATAATCTAAATATTAATTTATTTCCACTTACTTCCTGGTGACGAGTATTTGATACGCATGGTTACGCAAGGCGTTTTCCCTACAGAATCTGCATTCGCGGTTGTTCCTTAACTTCAATCTACTGAGGTGTTTATTGAGGAGACAATGTCCTTTTAAAAACGGCGTGACACTCCGAAGATTATTCTTATTTTAATCAATTATAGTCTGTTCAACAACAAAATCCTTGACAGTGATAGATGTGTCTGTCATTTTAATTTCAAAGTAGTTTATTTTATTCTACAAACAAATAAGTTGGTACAATTGGAACGCATAGCAGGAATTTATTATATTTAAAATTTGAGTGACAAGTGATTACTTCAAAATATTGTGAAAAAAAACTATATAAAACTGAAAAAATCTAATGGAGTTATTTTATTTAAAAAAACGGTATGTGTTAATGCAAAACAAACAAGGGTGTATTTTAAACAACAAAACACCTCATACCAAAAAAAAATAAAGAAATATTTATTACTTTCTACAATATAACTTATGTACAAGGTGGGTCAAATTCGACGCTTTTAAATGGAAACAACCTTTTCTATAGGAAATAGACAAAAACTAATATCGGTGTCTGGAGCTCAATTTTTGTCAAAAACATAATGGTGAAAACCGCATATCGATATCTGTTACCGTTTCGGAGTTACGGGGTGTTTTTCAAAAATATGCATTTTTAACAAATCGCTGTAACTTTTTTGCTATGGAAAATTTTGTATTTTTATGAAAACATTTCCAAAGCAATTTTTTACGTAGAATTTAATGGTTTAAGTATAATTTTTTTTAAATTAAAAATTTAAGAATTGTCAACAGAAAATTTGATTTTTTATGAGACAGCCTGTATATTTTTAATTTATTGAAAAGAATTTAAAGTTACCTTTCCAAAAATATAACACACTTGATATTTTGCTCGATTCCTCTTCGAGATATAGAGTATATAAAAATTCGCCCGCCTTAAATAAGTAGGCTTTGAACGGCACCGGCTGTAATGCAAAAAAATTCTAGATGGGAGAATCAATTAAAACGAAAATAATATTTGCTATGAGAGTTGCAGAATTTTATAACAATTTAAAATATATTTAACCAACATCAACACATTTAAACTATATCTAATTAGAGATGAGCAGAAAATCGCAAACTGCGATTTAATCGCAGCGCTTGTAAATTCGCAATCGCAACCTGTGATTCCTTTCCATAATAAACTGCGACTTGCGATTGAAACATATATCTGCCGATTTTGGATTTTTAGGCAACCAATATTACACCAGTTGCGATTTGCAATCGCAGTGGGCACGCGAACGAAGAGCTGCGAACGAAAATCACAGCATTGCGATTTTTGTTCGCACCGGCGCGGCGTTGCATCGACACGGCATCGGCACTGAGAAGCCGAACGATGAGCTGCGAACGAAAATCGCAATATTGCGATTCTCGTACGCCCCGGCCGGCGCGGCGGCGGCGCGTCTTCAACACGGCAATGGACAGGCAAACGAGGAGCTGAACGAAAATCGCAGCTCATCCCAGCACTGCGATTGCGATTTTCGTTGGCACCGGCGCGGCATCGGGAGTGGGCACGCCAACGAAGAGCGGCGATTGCGATTTTCGTTCGCAGCTCCCAACACATCGGCCTAGACTAGATCGCAAAATCACATTCGCAATCAGGGCCCCGTAATTTTATGAAGCGTTGGAAAATAGGCTTATATATGTTTATATACCGCATAATATATATAATTTATTAGTTTTAAATTTTGATAATAGTTTTAGATTTATAATATAATTATGGATTGAGAAGGTTAAAAATTCTTGTTTTCGGTTATGACTAATTATAGTTACAGTTGCTCCCAGGTAATGATTCAGGTAAAATGATTCATAAGGACAGTTTTGGATTCAAATTATAAAAATTATCTATTTTTATCCTTTATTTACTAGAAGATATAGAGCACGGAAAAGAAACAGCCCTTTTATTTATTATATTTTGTTATATATTATATTATTATAAACATTTTTATAACAATCCATAATATAATATAATTTTCTGAATATACTAACAGTTGTGGATCGGCTGCTATGTTAATTTAAATACATCCTTTACAATCAGTTTTTTCATTTTAGAGAAATTTTAAATATAATAAAATGTGATATTGTCCTTTTATTTATCTAAAAGTTCGAAAGTTTGCACTTGCACTGGACGGGCCGTATCAAAGCCATCAGCGTCGGCTTCTTTTGAGTTACATATAAAGAAAACAAGATAAAATAAACAGTTTTTTTTCTAGTTATCTGAATTAAGGTTGGCGGCAACCTTTTTTATAATAAATTTTTCGTTAGTATACCTACTGTCTAAAAGCACATTCGAATATTTTGAACATTTTATGTATTTTTAATTTCCCTTTTAAATTTACTCGGTCTGTTCTAATCAAAAATGTTTAAAAAAAAGGAAACTAAGTTATTTGTGGATTTTTTTTTGGTAGGTAATTGATGAAAATTTTAAGTGCAATATGTGTGCAGCAAAAATATCATAAAAAACACGCACTACAAATTTTAAAAGGCACATGGCATCGAAACACCCAACAGTTTCTTTGTAAGTTTTTATTAAAAAAAAATTATTCCGCTATTTATTCTGTTTTTTATTAGAAATTTTGGGATTGAGCTTCCCAGATTACAGCGCACCAATTTAAAAATATCAAAATCGCAATCGCAGGTTACAGTCGCAGCGATTTATAAATCACAATCGCAGTTTCAACTGCGATTGGAAAATCGCAGTTTTGCTCATCTCTATATCTAATAACAATAAAAATAAATAGCAAACCAAGACATGACATTTTGCTACAGGTGTTCGATATATCGACCGTTTTCTGTTATGGACAGACGGGGCCGTTTTTGAACATTTCTCGCGGAATTCATTAACTCAGTGGAGGTGAAAGATACCCTCTCATAACTGCTAAGTATTTCTAATTCTTGTCTAGATTATACGGAAGAATAAGGAACCTTTATTCTTCCGCAAATATATCCATAGGATTAGATCCATGGGCACTAAGTCAGGCGGCCTCGACGGCCAACGGCTGGGTTCTTGGTTAGCTATTCAATTATTTTTGAAATTGGCTACAAAAATTTGCTGATAACTTCAGCGTTCTGAGGCGGTGCGTCGTCTTGTTGGAAAAATATCTTTTCGAGTTCTATTAAGGGCATATCATCAATAAGGGGTCCAAAGCTTACAAGATAAAAGTGGCGAACTTTTAAATATTCTGTATTTCGAAGGGGATTATAACAAAATATCAAGTGTGCTATATTTTTGGAAAGGTAATTTTAAATTCTTTTCAGTTAATTAAAAATATTGAGGGTGTCCCAAATAAAAAATCAATTTTTCTGTTGATAACTCTTAAATTATTAATATTAAAAAAATTATACTTAAACCGTTTAATTTTACATAAAAAGGTGCTTTGGAAATGTTTTCATAGAAATACAAAATTTTCCATAGCAAAAAAGTTACAGCGATTTGTTAAAAATGCACATTTTTGAAAAAACACCGTAACTCCGAAACGGTAACAAATATTGATGTGCGGTTTTCACCATCATGTTTTTGATGAAAATTGAGCTCCAGACACTGATATTAGTTTTCGTCCATCTCCTATAGAAAAGGGTGTTTCCATTTAAAAGCCTCGAATTTGACCCACCCTGTACAAATAAAAAAATAATATTGCTCAGGGATAAATAATACACAACATAAATAAAACAAAATATTTTATTGATAATAACACTCACCGAATTTTATGCCTTAAAAATTGATTAACTAATTTTAATCTTTTTTTTAACCATCGCCACGTTTTGACATTATCTTTTTGCAGTACTAAAATCTATAATTTTACCTATCGTGTAATGTCGTTATTTTACAGCTACTCCTGTTTTTAGTACCATATACGAGATAGTATATAAACTTTACTGATAGTAACTTTATTAGGTATATCTCTGTCTGGGCACCGAATATTAACCTAACCAACTATAAACTGTGCTCTAGATCTACAGTTCATTTTCTCTTGATTTTTCCTCCACTTAACTTCAAAAGACAAAACACACGTAATAACACGAACCAAAATGCAAAAACAATTGAAAAATGTTTATAGTCTTCTAAAACGCAGGTTATTTGATATAATTTGACACATATTTGTAACCTATAATTTGACAGGACTTTGACAAGCCTCAAAAAATAAGTCGAGTTCATCGTTGCGTCACTCCAATAATATTGAAGTATGATCTCTCATTTTTGAAATAAACTCCATAGTTAACTTAAAAAATATTAGAAACTTTTTTTTTATTGAAAAAGATTGGTATAGACGTCATTTGCTTTTTTTCTGTCATCGTCTGTCGAAATCTTACCTGAGAAAAGAAAAACAGAGTATACTTAGATCGTTTGCTTTTTCATTGTCTTCTGTCCCTTGGTGGGCTGGCATCCAGAGTAGGAAGACTTTCTTTGTCTAATTTGTTCAGCTTCTCTAGGCATTCTTTGACCAGCTTTGATTTTATTTGATGACTATTTCTTGTGTCCGATAGTTACTTGTTCGTCACTTCATTGCTTAGTTGATTTAGTATTTTCTGTTTTTACCCACCCTATCGAAATTTTGAATACTGTATGGCCTTTGCAATACTTTTTAATATTTATAATAAAAATAAATTCTATAATTATTCAATATCAACACTTAATGTGTAAAAAACTGTCTCGGTTGCTGCAAAAGAAATAATAATAATTACAATATTCATCAAAAGGTTTTTTTTCTTTCAGGAATTCAGAATAGTCCTGATCATGTCTCCAGCCCAGAACCCTGTTTTTCTCCTAACATTAAACCCAGATCTTCAACCCAAACCAAGGAGGAACTCAAGAAAAAATCAACATCTCACTCCCCAGAAACGAAACCTCAAACCAAAACCTCTAAATCTGAAGCGTCCACCCATTCCAGTCGACAAACATCGCAAGAAAAATACAAAGATTCAAGTTCGACGAGTTCAAGTCAGGCTGACAGAGTGAAATTCGCTAACCTGGATAGAGTTCTGTATCCTCCGAGACGGAAAGCTGGAAGACCTCCGGTATCCAGCAGACGTCCAGGAAGACCTCCCAAACATAAAGCAGAACCTTCAGAGACTAAACCTAACGAAAAAGTTAATAACAATTTAAAAAATAAAGTTAGGTCTAAAAGCGCGGTTCAAAATAATGCTTCCAAGCAAATAGCTTTGAAAAATAAAGGTGTTTCGTTGAAAGTGCCGAAGATCTTCCACTCCCGGCACAAACACAAGCACAAAAAACGCAAGATTAAGATTTTGAAGCCGCTAGTGTCGTGCGATCCGAAGATCAATCAGGAAATTGAGAAGTTGATTTTGGATTTCGTGAAATTTTGTGCTATCGCTACTAAACAGCCTAAAGAGGTCGTGCCGGAGCAGGTTTTGAAGACGCTGAAGAAGGTGACGAAGAAACGGAGGACGACAGATCATATAGAGAAGAAAAAGAAGAAGCAGAGCGTGAACACGACAGTGAACAAGGTAAATTTGTGTTTTATTGTATAAGGTTTATTTGTGGGGTGCTGGGTGGGATATTAATTCATACTGTGCTGGCAACTTTTACTTTTGGGTCGGTATTTACATGTTTAGTAAATAGTAGTGGTGGGAACTATCGAAACATTCGATAGTTGCAATTCATTTGAATAATTCGATAGCTAGTAAAAAAACATTCGTTGAAAACTATTCAAATAAAAATTATCGATTAGATGCGTCATCTGCCTTGAAATATTGTATTCTAGTAATTCGGCAGCAAAAACCATTTATTTATAAAATTCATTCATTTATGAAACTCATTTATTCGTCAGGATCGGTTATAATAAAATATTAACTGGGTTTTAGTTGTCGCCCGGCGACGTAGGTTCCTTTCCGAGAACCCCGACAGCGGTCGGTGGCAATGCTATGAAAGAAGCCGGCATCTTAGATTTTTTGCGGAGTCAGATAAAGATAAGGACACATTATTTTTTTTTTTATTGAGGTGCTAGTATTTACACAGAAAATACATTATGAAGGGCGCTGTTGCCATATATTGGTATTAGCAAGTATTAGTTGATATTAGCAAAGAATATTATTGTTTGGCTTTAGTTAGTTAGGGATAGTATGTCTATATATTTTGCATTTTTTGATTAATATTCTTTTGTTACACTGCAATAATACTTGTTATTTTGGATGTAGGAAAATGATTTTTAATGTTTTTAAGAGCAAAGACTGGTTTAATAAATAATAATAACAGTAATAATTTGTTATACCTAATACCTATTAACAACAAAATTAAAAATCATTTAATATAAACATTTTTTTAAGTAGTAGCAAAATATAAACAACAAATTAGATGTGAAAATTATTTATATCAGATCCTATTTAAAAATAATATAGTCTCTAAATTTTTTGTGGCAACGTTGGTTTATTAAATAATAATAATTACACAGAACTAATTATATTAACAACAAATTTTAAAATCATGAAATATAAACATTTATTAATTTTCTAAGCATGCAGTGTAATGGAAGAAAAATATAAATAAAAAATTAGAAATCAAAATTATTTATATTAGGTGCTTTATATTACTATTTAAAAATAATATTTACTTTTACTGGCATTTACTTTAAAAAATAAATGAAATACTTCTTACACTACATGTAAGCATAAACTTGAATGCAAACTACATGTAAGCATAAACTTGAATGAATTAGCATAAGCAAAATACAAACATCGTAAACTTTTCGTTTTTTTAAATTGGCACGTGTAAAACTTTCAATTTAATTTTCTCACCCCATAGTTTGAGTTCGATAACCCCATTTACTTAACCTCGTTACTTAAATATGATTTTTAAGTTCAACTAATTCATATTATTAAAACATCTAAAATACAAATATGTATTTTTAAAATTAATTGTAACTTCATCTCATCTCTCTTAAAAATTGCTACTTCTCAAAATTTTCCATTAAAAAATAGATCATATACCATATAAAATTAAATAATTGAAAGATCGGGCTACGGAAAATCACACAAATTTTCGGAAAAATTTTGACCACCTGCACACGCACACAATCGTCAATTAAAAAAAAGAGTTCTAATAGCGCGACCACTGTCGAACACCAACTCAATTCCACTTTTCCACAATTTTTACCAAAAGTGCAAGTGTTTCTAACTTGCATTTAAAAAGTTACAAGCTATAGGCAAAATTACAACGACTCGTTAATAAATAAACAAGTATCACGAGACGTAATTAAATCGTAAAGCTGAAAGTACTGATTGGGTCGACCGCGACGAATCTGCTGTATCCTCTTCCACGTCTCTTAGCAATGTGCACAGTTTCTCGGTTTATTTCATACGTTTGGCAACGTTTTTACTGTTCTCTCTTTGTACAGTACATTATAAACGTATTGTATTCTTCTTCCCTACGGAAATCTCGACCCAAAACTAACCTTTGCCAGCCCTTAGTATATCAAATTTTTGTTATTTTTTAAGTAGAAATGTGATTTTAGAAGATGATTTTCATTGGTTTGTTTTTATAACTTTTTTAACTTTAGTTCACTTTATAACTATTATAGGTACACAACTCAAATGAACAACGTCTTCCTTTAAAGAAAAGGCATTATCACTTGGCGAGCAACAGTAGCGAAAGCCAAAAAACAGAAACTGAAGAATCCAAAGAAAAGTTGTTAGAAAAATTGGAAGATTCCAAGACCGAAACTAAAGAAATCAAGAATAAAATTGAGAAGAAAGAAAAAATTAAAGACGGAAAGGTCACCCCTAAATACGTCCCTGTTATTAAGAGCCATATCAATAATAACGAATATGAAGTAAAGGTAGGTAATATTTGTTATATAATATCACAACTAAAATGGATAATTGGCTAGTTTGTAGTTGATTTTTATTTGTTATTTTGCTACATACCAATATTTCTATTTCAGGCTGAAAAAATTGAAAAAGACGGATCTTCTCACATAGACGAGGCCATAGAAGCTTGCATAAACAAATTTTCCGATAAAAAACAGATTAAAACCGACGAAAAACATCCAGATGAAAAAATCGTTGCCGCAACAACACCGAAGAAACGTCATAGATTGGAAAACTTAAACTCCAGTACAGAAAATGCTATCTCTGCTCCTGAAAATTCTACTGAAGTTAAAGTTGAGTCAGTCACGGTAAATTTGGAAGACAAATTAGATAAAATTAAGACCAAATTAACTGTGGAGGCGTATATCAACGAACTGAAGGCCAAGAGAACGTTGCAAAGTGCGAAAAACATATGTAGTGTCCCTGAGGATGGAAAGAAAATAATCAAGGAGACTGCCAGTGTGGAAATCAAGAAAGAAACTTCAAATGCCTTACAGGTAACTTTACAATATTTTTATATAATTAGGGCTTCCTCGTTGGAAAAATTCAGATCATTTAGAATACATCTTTTTTCCTCCAGGTGGAGAAAACTGTCCAGGTTTCTCCTGAAAGTACCAGGAAAAAAGTAAGAAAAAGAAGAGCATTTAACAGGACCGGGTTTCCAACTGTTAAGAAGAAAAAGAAACGACCAACAACCCTTGAAACGTCCCTGGAGTCGATTTCTACTGAAGATAATGAAAAGACTTTGCCATCAACATGTGATAGAGTGCCTAAAGAAGGTTAGTTGATATTTTTTACCTGTATATTGTGTAACGAGTCTGTAAAACATTTACTTTTTTCAACTCCTTTTCAATGAAATACGAGAGCGGCTCTAGATTGACTTATATGTCTGACAAATTACTAGGTAGAATTGAAATTTTGCAGGAGAGGAGTACACTAAGTTTATGCAACGTAGCAACCATAGTTCTATGAACGATTTGACTGCGATAGGTTACAAAACGCCGGCAGAGGACCTTACTAGCGAATGCGAGAGTCTTCCACAAGATGAAAGAACTGATTTCGATATGGAGGACAGTAGTAGGTAAGTTTAAAACTTCTGTTACCTATTTTTCATATATAAAATTTGTAGAACCATCGTTCAATGTTAGTCTCACTCTTTTACATAAAAAAGGATGAAATTTTATTTTCTTACGTTTTTTTAATTTTAATTTAATTTTTTTAATTAAATAAATCACTTCACATAGCACACGTTTATATAGTCTGTCCAACGACAAGATCCTTGACAGTGATAGATGAGTCTGTCATTTTAATTTTTCAAAGTAGTTTATTTTATTTTACAAAAAAATAAGTTGGTACAACTGGAACGCATAGCAGGAAATAATTTGACTGATAAGTGATTACTTCAAAATATTGTGAATAAAAAACTGTATAAACTGAAAAAATGTAATCCAGTTATTTTATTTAATAAAAACGGTATTTGTTAAGATAAAACAAACAAGAACAAAACACCAAAATAATATAAAAAAGAACTATTTCTTACTTTCAAGCTTCAAGAAACTTCCCACATTTATTATTATATTTATCAATATAACTTACGTACAAATACAAATTTATAATATTCCACAGGAATAAATAAAACAAACTATTTTATTAATAATAACACTTACCAAATTTTATACCTTAAAGGTTGATTAATTAACTTTAATCTTATTTTTTTTAAACCAGTACCGTTTGACATTATTTTTCTGCAGTACTAAAATCCATTATTTACCTATCGTGTGATGTCGATATTTTACAGCTACTCCAGTAGTATATGTTTAGTACTTAGTACGATCCTTGTAGCATATACGAGATGCACTTATCTACGATGAGATGCTATACAAACTTTATTGATGGTAACTTTATTGGTGTATAAGACTTTCTGCCTGGGCAGCGAGTATTAACTATAAACTGTGCTCTAGGTCTACAGCAAAATAAAAACACTAAATCACCACAATACACCAAAACACTTTTACTTTTACACTGGACGCGCGTTTCGCTATACAAACTTTATTGATTAGGGCTTCCTCGTTGGAAATGGTAACTTTATTGGTGTATAAGACTTTCTGCCTGGGCAGCGAGTATTAACTATAAACTGTGCTCTGGGTCTACAGTTAATTTTCCCTCAATTTTTTCTCCACTTGACTTCAAAAGACACAAAACACACGTAATAACATGAATCAAAATGCATCATCTTCCAAAAAGCAGATATTTGACATAAGTTGACACAAAATTATAACCTATAGTTTGGCAAGACTTTGACAAGTCTCAAAAATCTAAAGGCGAGTTCATACGTATCGGCGTCCGTTTGTCGTTCATCGTTACGTAAAACCAATAAAATTGAAATATGATCTGTCATTTCTGAAATAAACCAATAAAACTGGTTCAAAACAACAAGAGACAACGCATGACGGACTAATACTTTTTTTAATAAAATAAATAGATTAGTATGGGACGTCATCTGCTTTTCTTCTGTCATCGCCTGTCGAAATCTTACCTGAGAAAAAAAACAGAGTATACCGTCCTTTCACCTTTACAATTATGGTCTTATTGACGGATATCTATCGGTGTCACTTAAAAATCGATTGTGCTGTCAAGCAGTATTCAAATCCGTTTCTTAATAAAATGTCTATAATAAATATAACGAAAATAATAATTTTTTTAAAATTATTTTTTATTATTCCTTATTTATTTTATTATTCCTTTCACGCAAAGTATTTAAATCATTATCAATTACAGTGTAATTATTAGGAAACTTAGAAAAGAACTTTATTTTTTTTTGCTTATGTAACCTGCGATCCCCCATATTAAAAACATAAAATACATAATAAAATAATTCCACGAATTTTCAAAAAAAAAAATTATTTTAGGAATTATTGTAATATGGATATCAATATAAAAATCAATAAATTTAATATTTATCATATAAGTGCGTTCATGATATTTTATTTTTCAGTCGTAGTGATAGTATTAATGAGAGCTTATCGGAAACAAGGAGTAAGAAATCTGATGGTGCTGATATGGAGTCGATGTCGTTATTAGAATCTTCAATTGAGCGGCTCAAATCGAGGCTGGATCAAAAAAAGCGGAAAAGGAGTAAAGATCTGAAGAGTATACCTGGTAAGTCTTAATTTTTGTCTGATAATTACTTTTTACTTTTCAAAAATAAATTCAATAATCTGTTTTAATAAACAGTTTAATAAATACAATAACAGAGTTTTATGTCAAAGTCAGAATTGTAAAACACCGCGGTACTGAAAAGTTGTATTGTTTTATTTACAATCATATATTGTAATGATGATGTCACTGACGTTTTGAAAGTCTCAAACTGTTATATCTCACTTCTCTGGCTTCTGCCCTTTCAATAGCTTTAAGTTCTAGTGGGATACCAATGTTAAAATAGTCTTTGTCACTTTCTGACAACACTTCAGCTTTCTTTGTTACACAAACTCAATTAGTTAAAAAATTACTTGTTTGTATTGTTCAAAATTATTGTTGTTTGTTGAGATAAGTAAAATTGTATGTGTTAATTTCAGTGGAGACGAATACCTATCCAAAGAGAAGGAAAAGAGACGATTCACCAGCAAGTAGTATCGAACCTTCAGTTGAAAGTCGATTGAGGGACAGTACCAGTGCTTCTGGAGATGAACTTAATAAGAGAAGTAAAAAGTGCCTCAGATATAGGAAAAAGTTTTTGGTCGCTGGCTTGTTCTCAGATTATTATAAGGAAAATGAGTAAGTGCGATAAAATGTCCTTTGTTCTTATTACAGTGGCTAGTTTTTTTGTTGTAAATCTTTGATTTGTATCTCTAACTTAAACAGCTGTCTGCAATGTGATTAATTATGTACAAACTTCTCTATATTTTTTATAGAGCGAAACGTCAAGAAAATTCTAAATCGACAAGGAATCTCATTTATAATCCGGAAGAACATCCTTACGGATTATTACCGCCTCCGTACCATTGCGGGAAGTACCTGCGATGTCGAAAGGTGGATTTCCAACTGCCGTACGACTTGTGGTGGCAACATACTCATTCTCAGTTGCCCGGTCGTGATGTGGTACCATCGTGGAATTATAGGTACGTATACAAATAATTTTACAAGATAGATAACATTTTTAAAAAATATCTATACCCCTGTGGCGGATCGTCTTTTCATCGGATTATCTCTTCACAAAAGTCCAACAGGTATTTCGCCACTTTTACTGTAAGAAAATCTACACAAAATAGTTATTTTTTGTAAACACTGCTGGCGTTAATCCGACGGGGACCAGTTTGTCCGCAGTAATGTACTAATAAACAAATTTGCCTAATGGACAAAAAAATTCTTAACGTTTCGGGAAGTATATCTCTTCCCGTCGTCGGAAGCAAAAAACACAAAGTACAAAGAAAAACTATTTAAAATATTTAAATAAAACTATTCAAGAACACTTTAGTTTTTTTCAACAGATACGTCTATAAAAACCGTTAACGTTCTGTTTAAATCACAATAATCAAGTTAAACATCAAAATTAACAATTACTACCTGACTTCAGTAACTTTTTTTCTCTAATAAATTTGAATTATACACATGGTTTCCATAATATCCCACTGTTTTTTGCACAAAAAAAGTTTTATATTTAAATTTAAAAGAAAAATAGATCAAAAATGTTACGGATGAGATTGAAATGTTAACAGATTATAGATTATAGTCTGTCTAACAAGAGGATCCCTAACATTAATACTAATTCACAGGTAAACTGCATTTTCTGTAATTTTTGGGATGTGGCAAAGCCATCTATATTGTCTAACGACAAGCCGTGAAGTACGCAATCTGGCAACATGTTGTTTAGTCCGCTGGTTACGAATTCTGTGGTTAGGTTCTTATGTCTTATGTGGTTCTTATCGATTTTTCCCAAATTAGGAGGTGTAAAAAAGTAAAAACTCGAGGTGAGTTGGTTGAATAATTTAAACATTTTGTATTCTGGAATCTTGCTTCATAAAAAGTGTTCGTTATTCATATTTGATAAAAATATGATTAATTTTAGATGCCTACACATTGCTGTGTTCCTGGCTGTACCTCAAATTATGCCAGTGCTTTGAAACATGAAGGAATGAAAACCACATTTTCTTTTCCAAAAAGGGCAACATATGACAGGAATGGATCTGGTCAATCCATAGGGACAATTTTGAATTCTCCAATAGTTCTGTAGTTTTCGAGAAACATTTCGAAAAATCCGAGATATAAAAGTTGAAACCTATAAAAATAAAGAAGGGGTTTTGGGTGAATTCCCACTCAAAAGGCTAAGATTATGTGAAGGTGCAGTGCTGCATATTTTTCCTAATCAACCCAAATACTTGTCAAAACATCTTAACAACTTCTCTAGCTGACCCTGAAACAAGAAGGAAGAGAAATTTAGGAAGATATCAACAGGAAACAGAAAATTTATTGAAAAGTGACAAAATAAATAGTTTTGCTGAATTTCTTGAAACTTTTGAGTCAAAAGTGTGTTTGGAACTGTGGAATTTTAAAGTTAAGGATGGGAAAGTTTTTTTTTTCTGTTGAATATGTGTATTGATGACTAGACAGTGAAGATAGTGTTAATGTTGTGTCGAGTATTATTATTGACAGTACATTTACTGTACAAGTGTTTATCGGAAACTGTGAACTAACAGTATGGGAGCTGAGATGGATTCTGCCCTGAGGACAAGAAACTGAGCCGATGGTCACAATTGGACAATCTACTTGCTAGATACAGGTTTTCAAGGCAGGTACCGAAAGAATGTGAGTACTATGTAGACAAAGCATACGCAAATGTTAAAAAACCGTATCTAAATTGTTGTACTAGGTAGATAATAGTTATTTTAAGTGTTTTTTATCCAGTAATAATAATTCATTATTGGAATAGGTATTTAATAAAAATAAAAGATGTTTTTTTGTAATTCTTGTGTGGTCTCTTTTTTACTAATTTCGCCTATAACAATCTATTTAAAAACTATGTATATCGAAGCTATCTGTGGAAACCTAGATATAGTAAAGACTTGGTACTGTTAAAATAAGGACACTGGATACTGTGTGTAATTTTTTTTTCTTCATCTCAGAGCCAAACCGCTTTCCGCTTTATTTCGTTAACTTATTTTCTCATATTTTGTCGATCGCCACCATGAAAACAAAAGTTAGGTTAAGTTATGCCGGACTATTCTTTGAATAAGAAGACCACTGCCGTTCTTTAAAAGATCAGCCTGGGGGCGGACTTTTGTTTACTTCATCAGCTGTACATACTTAGATATTGGGTTAGATTCCGTTTCATATTTTGTCGGTTGATTTTTGGTTTTACTCTATGATTTTTGTTATTTTTTATTATTGTAGTGCAAAAAACTAATTATTTTGGTGTTTAAGTGACATAAACTACTACCAGATATATGGTCACTCTCGATTTCGCATAAAAAAATAGAAAAATTACACGTTGTGTAAGTGATTTAACCTAAAAGTGCCCATGCCCATACATTTTTTACTCATCGTGATTTTTGTGTGTGTTTTTTAAGACTCTAACAATTCATCAATAAAGCTTAAGTGGAGTGTGTTTTTGGTGCTATGCCTCATCTTTGTTGTGTTCCTGGTGGAAAGGATAGTTATACTAGTCAGCCTAAAGTGTCCGGAAGAGCAAGAAAAGTGGGTACGAGTTATAAATCAAGAGAATTCTATTGAAAATATCTTTAATAAATTTAAAAATAATATTCTCCCATGATGGTATTAATGAAAACTGGACAATTATGTTTATTTTATTCATATTGTGGAATCTCCACTCCAAGTGTTGTTGGTTCAGCTTCGATAGATTCAAACACCTAAGTAGGTATTATGATCTAGGGAAAATAAAGAATATGTGTATTAAAGATCATGAAAAAGATTATTATTTTGAGTTCAAATTTTAAAAAGATTTTTGTAAAGACAAGACTGATACAGTTTAAAAGAAGAATGTGTTTTTGTTTGATAATATATAATGTATGTCAAGTTGTCAAGCATAACATACATTTTTGTTCAGTAATTTTAATGAATAGTGTTGATTATTTATAATACCAAATTAATATCAAATATTTAAGTGATGGCTGAATATAATATGAATAAAATAACAATAAAATTGGTATATTTGCATAATACAAAATTAAGTTTTAAGAATAAAGGTGTTACTAAAAATACTAAGAAATTCATATTTCTTTGTTTTAATTGGTCTAATGTTATTTACATTTTACGTAAGAATTATACCGTATCATCGAAAAAAATCGGCGTCTAGTTGGCTTGGAAATGAACATCGATGACATTCCCTAAATAACTGTACACACAAAATAATTAACTAGAATTTTACAATCTTGGAAAATTTGATATTCTTGAACCTTGTTTCTAAATATTCTAAATTTTTTGATTTTCTTGGGATTTAGGTTCGGGAAAAACGCTGATTAAGTTTTCATTTGGTTTTTCTTTATTTTTATTTGGTTTAAAAAAAAACGTTTCGGCTAACATTATAGCCTTCATCAGTGTTGTGTCATATGAAAAAAATAGTGTCGAATATAATCCAAAAAATTACATATAAAATATTCACACCACACATATAATGTTTACTGCGTACTCCATAGTCAATGTAGATAATTTTAGTGTTAAGAATAATAATTTTAAAAAATATGTGGTCATCTTTTGATAAGTTTATATTAGTTTATTAATTGCAGTAAACATTATGAGGTGTGAATTATATTGTATATGTAATTTTTGGATTATATTCGACACTATTTTTCTCATATGACACAACACTGATGAAGGCTATAGTTAGCCGAAACGTTTTTTTAAACCAAATAAAAATAATGAAAACCCAAATGAAAACTTAAATCAGCGTTTTTCCCGAACCTAAAAATCCCAAGAAAATAAAAAATTTTAGAATAATTTTACATATAAAATGCCAGCGATCTTCATTTCATAGCCATCGCTGACGCCTTTTTTTAGATAATATTGTATTATTTGTAAATATAATTTTTCGAACATTGATACTTGCAAAATATACATATAAATTTAGTGAATGCAAATAATAATACATCACTATTAATAGATATTGAATGTTTTTTGTTAAATTAGATCGATTTTCAAACCCCAAAATTTAAAATATATTTACATTTTACCCATTATCTTATGTACCTATACATTATTTGTACATTGTAAAACATTTGCTGCATTTGTATGGTTCATAGTTTATTTGCCAAAGTATTTATTACTATAAATAGGTATATATGTTGTAGTTATTAACTGTATATTATGTATATTTCATGTAAACTATATCATTTATAAAATACAAACCAAAAATCTGAGGAATAATTATGTTTTCCATGTATTCTACAACATATAATTTATTAATCCGTTATATCTAACTAGCGTGACGTCATAAATCTCGCCCGTAGGCTGATCTTTTAATAGAAGGCACTGAGAAGACTAAGGAAGGAGCATAATGCTATCCATGTATTCATGCATGGTGGGCGGAAAAAGCTCTCTAGGGTGGGGATCCTTGACAGTTCTGTTTGACGATTCATTTGACACATTTGAATTTGATTTGAAATTTTGTGGATTTGTCAGTCTTTACGGAGCTTATTTTATGTTATTTATTATTTATTCTACTACTGATAGTTGTATAAAGGTAGTAAATCTAGATGGAAATTGTGGCAGAACTTAAATTAACAGTGACACTATCGCGATTTATCGAAAAAGACTCTAAAATAGTTGGTTGTGTAGCGTGCGGTAGATCTCGGCAAAAATTGAGTGAAATAATGGAACAACTTTTCGCTAGTAAGTGACTATATAATATACATACGTGTAGTAAACCGATCATTTATGAAATTCACTTAAATTAACTAAATTATATATTTTTCTTGCATTTTAGCTTTTATTTATTACTTGTCAAAGAATTTAGATACGTTAATTTCACTTACCTGCTTCAGTAGCGTATCGGATGTTTGTGTTAATAAATACTTATTATAACTTATCTATTTTTATTAGAATTATATATTTTTATAACAATTTTAATAACTACCAACATGTATTCACAACGTAAAATAAAACAACAAATTATTGAGTCTACCCCACGTCTACCCTACATCATAGTTTTACATTTTTTAAATAAAATTAGAACGACACTGATAAACCGGAATTTAAGTCGGCCATATTTGAGGCCCATCGCGGTGTACCTAAGATTTTTGATATGCTCCTTACTTAGTCTTCTTATTCAAAGGGACTATTTAAATTGAAATATGCGACGTTGCCTTTTTAACTTCACGGCTTGTCGTTAGACAATATAGATGGCTTTGGATGTGGTCGAAATATTTCCTGATTTGTTGGACAGACTATATTGATATATTTTGACAACTATTTCTGTAGTGATTCAACAATTTGCTACTTTGCACATTAAAAAAAAGGAAGTAAGTAGCAATGATGGCTTTAGTGCTACACCCCATGAAATTTAAAAAAATGCCACTAGTGCAACAACCTTTACCAGAGACATCAAAAATGAGTCAGTATGAGTAGTGTTATAAACTTTTTAGAGTTTTACGAGAATAAAAATTATTCCGCCCTCTTAATATACAAATGAATATTTCTATTTTTTTACAGGAAGGTGAGAACCAACGTTTACAACGTTAAGAGCAATGGAGGAGCGTGCGAACCTCAATCTTGCAACTGCAAGCCGTCGACGGATTGCGATGACGACTGCATAAACCGACTGGTTTTAGCCGAATGTCCAGCAACCCACAGATGCAAGAACCAGAAGATCCAGAGGCACGACTGGGCGCCGGGCATCGAAAAGTTTATGACAGAGAGCAAAGGTAGGAACGTCTTTAATGCTGTACCTTATATTTTTTTATGTTTCATTAGAACTATTCTAATATTGTACACAAAATATATACACAAAATTGTAAATGTTGTTTACTAAGTGGTATATTTGATTTAAAAAATTAATGTGACTTTAAATCGTAACAATGAATGAATTGAGAACGACAGATTACCATATTGAGATGTATTAGTTATTAGAAATTCTAATAATTGCCTGGAATTTGTGGTATCTATAGGAAAAATACCACTACAGGCAGATATATTCCTAATGAGTCTTATCATAGTATTGAACATAAGATGGCTAGTTTAAATTTCTTAGTTTATAGATTACTTAGTTTTCCACTTACCAACGAAAGATATGAAATAGAAAGAAATTATATTAGGAATGTAGCTAAGCGTAATGGATATTCTCCTTCGTTAGTTGACAAAATAATTAGAAAACGTAGGTAGACGTTTGCGATTTCTGAAAATTCGATTTTTCAAGTGGAGAAAGATACGTCAAAATATTTTTCAATACCGTTTGATAGAGAGTTATCTCATGGTCTAAAAAGAATTTTTAAGAATGTCAATTATAAACTTGTGCATAATGCTAATAATAAATTACAACAATTATTAGGTCATACTAAGGATAAAACACCTCCACTGGATAGGTCGGGTATTTATGAAATTTCTTGTAAAGATTGTAATCAGAAATACGTTGGGCAAACTAGAAGATCAATATTAACTAGATTTAAAGGACATTTGGCTCAGATAAGATATGGTAGACCGGATAAATCTTGCGATGCCGAACATATTGTTGATAAAGAACATTGTATAGATCTTAATAATTTAAAATTAATTAAACAAGTTTCAAATTTCTGGCAATTAAATGCATATGAGAGCATCAGAATTAATAAATGTAAAGATAGTATGAACAGAGACAACGGTCCAGTTCTGTACCTACTGCTCTAGTTGCGAAAATTATTTGTTATGCTCGGTTGGCTCTGACTCGGTTGGCTAGATCTTGCCACGCCCACTCGGTGCCCACTGAGCGAGTATATAAACGCAATTGTAGATATTAGTTTAGTTTTAATCATCTGCTGATGATGCTAACATGGTTAGCAAAACGGGCGTCCAGTGTAAAAGTAAAAGTGTTTTGGTGTATTGTAGTGATTTACTTTAAAAATAGGTGTTTTAAGAAGTTAATGCTTTTATTATACAACTATTTAACTGCTCTGGTGAATTTATCCACCATTCTAGAGATTTGTGACAGCTTTTGCAGCACCACAGAAGCGATTTGAACCTATTAATACCTTTGATGAGCCTTGTTTAGCCATTTCATGTGCCTTTCCTTCTTTTGTATTGTTATTTTTTTTTGTATCACAAAGAGATAATTATAATCCAGAATTATTGTATTGTCTTAAATGGTTTTTATTTGTATTGCAGGCTGGGGTGTTCGTACTAAAGAACCCATCAAACAAGGAGAATTTATCCTCGAATACGTGGGAGAGGTTGTTTCCGATCAGGAGTTCAAGGAAAGGATGAACAGCATCTACGTCAACGACACGCATCACTACTGTTTGCATCTAGACGGCGGCTTGGTGATCGACGGACATAGAATGGGCGGCGATGGCAGATTTGTCAATCACTCTTGTCAGCCGAATTGTGAAATGCAGAAAGTAAGTATCAATTGGTCGAATTTCCTTTATCTCTGCCACTTTTCTGATGCACTTGCTGTATAGGCCGAAAATAGTGAAATAAACCAAGAACAGTTAACCTAATAGGACTGCTCATTCAGCCAAAAGTGTCTGCCAGGTGCATGCGAAAACTCTTCGCTTTGTGACGTCATTGTAGTCCTTGTCATGGTTATTCAAATACGTTTAAAATAAAATTTATTTAAACGTATTTGTGGTTATTAGTCCTTATCCGGCAAACAATAATACACACACGTGCGTTATTGGTTGCCGGATGCAAAACGTTCATTTTTAGTTTATTTATTTAAACACCTTATATGTATGCAGTATAGAAAATTAACTGTATAAATCGTATTAAATACTCGGATAATGCATTTTTAAGAACAGCAGTTCCCAGCATCACCTTTTGCAATCATTCTTTTTAGAGTACTTCCATATTTTGCTTTAAAATAATTAATAAACAATATCGTAGGCACTTAGTAAGCACTTTGTCACAATCTACAACACAAAATGAACGTATTTATGCAATCTATAGCTCCAAAAACTTTAAAACACCTTTTTCACATTAAAAATTGACAAAATAATTAACTCAAAATTTCTCAGCTGTTATTTTTATAAGTTTACCATAGGCAACTAATAATACACACTATCATGACAAGGACTACAATGACGTCGCAACTGTCAGCTGAAGCGCGGGAAGAGGCGAACGTACGTCTTATGATGATGAGCAATCCTATTAGTTTACCGTTCTTGGAAATAAACAATATTAATACAAGAGTATAATATGTGAAACTAATATTTACAAAATAATTCTATTGTCGACTATTATATTACTCTGTTTTTTACTGAAAGGTACACAGTCATGTAATCGTTGCAATGCTTATACAGGGTGTTTCAAAAAACATGTGCCAACTCTCATGGCGAGATTCCTCACATAAAACGACGAAATAAGATTTATGTTTTATATCAACATAGCTCCAATTCTGCTGTGTTCTTAGGTACAGGGAGTTAGTCTTCATTTTTTTTTAGTTATTATAATTTTCTTCTACATGCTTTTATTGATTTGAAAGAAATTTTGAGGGTAAAAGTTATTATAAGTGCTACATATTTTATTGCAAAAAAAGTGTCTGTGTCCACCAGGGTCCACTGGACATGCGTATGGGTCACTGTAACATTTAAAAAAGAAAACGTGCGCTACTACCTTTTTTTTTCTTTTCTTAACAAAATTGTGTGGGCTATAATGCCGATTAAAAGTTATATCTTGATATTTTTGTCGATTTCAATGTGCTTGATGAGCTAAGCACAATTTTATTAATCACAATTAACAAAATTAAAATAAAAATAAAAATAATAAATTATTTATTTAATCTAATTTATGGTAAATTTCATTAAAACTTAAACACTGATGTTCAGTGCTACCTACAGCATATTAAAAAAAAACAATGCAGGTATTTAAGATAATTACAAAAGGCGTATTTTTTAAGTTTGAATATCCTTAAAAACTATGCATTTTCGCACCTATGTTTATAGTAACATTTTTTCAAACTTTGGCCAGTTAATGGCATTAAAAAATCATAAAGGTTGCTGTTAGAAAATCTTCTTACTGCATTCTCTCTTGTTTCTTTTACACCCAGTAAAAATGCAATTAGATATGTTTTTTATGAGAAAACATCACTTTAATGAAGTAAACTGAAACTCTTGATGGATAAATATGTGAAAACACAATCCGGTTTCTGGAACGGAAACGCTACGTGTATGATAATGTGCACAGAATTTAAAAAGGACCGTTTTTTTCGTCTACACACAAAGATTAACTTGTTACTTTTTTTACTGAACAGACAAGACTGACAGGTAAAACGTTAAGTGTAGACAGAACTTTATGTGTTATAAAAGAAATAAATTTTTATATGAGTCGCAGTTATTGTTGGTGGCGACTGTACCATTATTTTTTTATATTTTTTAGTGGAGTGTTAATGGTCAATTCAGGATGGCGTTATTTGCTCTCAGAGACATAGACCCTTATGAGGAGATCACTTACGATTACAATTTCTCATTATTCAATCCAGCGGAGGGACAGGAGTGCAAATGCGGTAGTACTAATTGTCGAGGAGTAATAGGTAAGATTGTTACCTATTTTGATAAACGATCAAAGATCAATTATCAAGTGTAATCTATGTTATTAGACTACGATGTTTGTGTTTCATTAAACAAATATTTCTTAGGTGGTAAAACTCAGAGGATACGTCAACTGCCCGAAACCAACGTGGTTAAAAACCCGGGTAGGGTCGGAAGACCACGGAAAACGGAGGCTAAGAAGAAACCCAGCACCACCAAAGACCAAGTTCCGATCAATCCTCAACCTACGCAGCAAATTATCCCTCAGATTCAAGTTAAACCCATGAGTCACCAGCAGAAATGCTTTATTTTAGAGCATCACTGTTTCTTATTGAGGAATTTGACCAAGGTGAGTTATTTCAGTAGGATATATATATATCAAGTATTGTTTGAGTGTTGTTTGCAATTTTCCTACGGTTTTATCGTGCATAGTATTCTTTTATAATTTTTAATCTTTTAGTCATCTACTGTGTGTTAAGAATTATGTTATATGTAAACTGATGCAAGTGTTAAAGGTTTTTCAATAACATGGTAAATTATAGTACTACGAGCCCTAACAACTATATGTTGGGACAAGGTCTTGTTTGCAATAAAAAATAGTAATTTGTTAAAACGGCTCAATTTATTTTGTTTATTGTTCTAAATTCAAACATTACAATATGATCTAGACAATTTTACTATATTTTTATAACTTTGCAAACAAATCACTTTTGATAATAGCTTATTTTGCCAAAATCAAGCCAAATTTGCTGACAACTATATATTGGGACAGCACAACAAGAAATTTGTTTAATACGGAGTTACATCTTTGTTTAATACGGAGTTACATCACCTTTCGCCTTAACAACTGCCTGAACTCTTAATGGCATTGTATTTACCAAAGATTGGCACATTTGAGGAGAAAAATTATCCCAAATTTCCTGCAGTTTTGCCCGCAAATATTGCTTCATTTTATGCCACACAGTTTCTATCACATTGAGGTCCGGACTACTTGCAGGATGGGATAGAACTTTTATATTATTATTAGCGAACCAATTTTTAGTTGATTTTGCTGAATGGCACAATGCTCCATCTTGTTGGAAAATATAGTCTTTGTTTGGAAACAATTCTTTAGCACTAGGCAAAAGTGAGGTCTCAAGTATATGTTGATATCTTTGGGCGTTAACAGTGCCATGTATAAAATTTAATTTGCCCAAACCTCTTGCTGACATGCAACCCCAAAACCATTATTCCCTTAGGAAATTTAACAACCCTCTTTAAGCAATCTTTATGAAAGGCTTCTGCTTTATTTCGTATTATTCGTTTTCGATAATCTCCAACGCAAACATCAAATTTAGACTCATCGCTAAATATGACCATATTCCAATCATTTTGTGTCCACAATAATTTAGATTTTGCCCAATTGTAGCGATTTTTCTTTTGAATTTCTGTCAGTAGCGGTTTTTTTTTGGCCTAAATAAGAATTTGTATCAATAATCTTCAGGTAATTGATTATCCACACAAAATAAAGTTTACCTTGTAAAACCGTAGACCGCATTTGTGGATATATTTTCGGCAACATTCTCTTAATATATTTAAACCAGTTACAGTATTCCATTTAACTGTTACTTCGCGAAGAGTACTTCTTCTCGCAGACTTGCAAATTTTTACTAAATTTCGTAAATCTCTTTGAGATACAACTTTTGGCCTTCCCGAACTTTTACCTCTAACGTCTACATTGGCAGATTCGCCGTATTTTTTTATTATGTTAAAGACCGTGGTTTTTGGAATACTTAAATCATCAGAAATTTTTCGAATTGTTTTTCCCGTACTGTATTGACGAATGATAATTTCGCGTAGTTTTTGATTTGTAGCTTTTCCACGGACCATTACTTTGAATTAAATAATTAACAAAATTGAAAATTAAAAAAAATAAAATTACTTACAGTAAATCTCACTACTCAAAGTATCGAGTCACTTACAAGCAGTCAATGCTGAAGTAAACAGTTTGCGACATTTGTGACGTTTATAGCAAAGCCGCCTATGATGATACTAATTATTTAAAAATACTTGTCCCAACATTTAGTTGTCAGCAAATTTGTCCTTTTATGAACAAAATCCTATACTGTAAATATGGATTGATTTACAAATTCATAAAAATATTGTCAAGTTATTTAGGATATATGGTTATATTTAAAAATTTAAACATATATTTTTCAGTCATTTTGAAAAACCAGGGCAATAATTCCAATATATTACCTTATCCCAATATGTAGTTGTTAGGGCTCGTAGATTAGCAACGTCTGGAAAATAAGTATTTTAAGAAAGCTGGCTCTTTGATATATCTTTAACTATGCTCTCTGAAACAGCGGGCAGGCCGTCTGCCGATAGACGTTGCATTCACTACTGCGCATTGAAAAATTCCTCTATTTAGTCGTTTAAATTCTAGTATGGAATATAAACCGAACACGTCTCCATAGCATGGCGCCGAGAACGTTCTGCCTATAAAGCGATAAGTCCCGAGTTCAATACTGGCTCGGGGTAAACTTTTTCTTATTTTATTTTATTATCAGAATATAAACGAAAATAAAATAAATAAAAATTTACCCCGAGCCGGTATTGAACTCGGGACTTCTCGCTTTATAGGCGGAACGTTTTCGGCGCCGAGCTATGTTTAGACTTGTTTAACTTATATAACTTCTTCTAATGCGCTGTTGTGAACGCAACATCTATCGGCAGCCAGACGACTCGCACGCTGTTCCAGAGAGCATAGAAAAAGTTATAATAGAGAGCCAGCTTTCTTAAAATAGTTTCTCGAAAACGTTGCTAGCTCTTAGACTATTAGGTCGGGGTAGAATTTCTTAGATCATTTTCTAAATAAAATGTTTAATTATGTACGAAAAATTAACATAAATTGTGAGCTGGCACAGTGTTAGAATAAAAAAATATATTAAGAGCACTTTTTGAGAATAAACTGATAAGCCGTTGTTTTTTAAACTATTTCTTTCCAGTTACGAGGATAAAATGCGAAATTACTTTTGCGGATATGTCTGAAACCTGGGGATTTGATGTTTCTAAATTCTTCTACGGTATTTGACGACATTTTATTTTCTCAGGTTCGCAAAGTGAGGGACAGATCTCAGAGTTTATCCTCTAGCACAGTTTCCAGACAGCAAACAGCTACACCGACCGATACCAGCGCCTTTATGAACCAACTAAACGCGCTGCAAAAACCGAGAAACATGAAGACGAGGAGGATAGCCCAGGCGGAAGACGACCCAGAACTTAACAAGAACATTAAGCTGGCCGCCATTCTCAAGGATATCTTGAAGGTCATTACCACCGCTAAAGGTAAGCAAAACTATTGTAGCTTGAGTCTAGTCTTTATATTCTGTATATATATTTTTTTCTATTAGACGACAAGGATAATCTCCTCAGCACAAACTTGATGCAGCTTCCGTCCAAGAGAAAAGTTGCTGAATTTTACCAGCGGGTTAGCGATCCTATAGATCTGAGTACCATCGAGCAAAATATCGCTACGGGGGTTTACAGAACTGCTCAGGCCTTCGACGAGGATATGAATAAGTTATTTATAGGTAAATGTTATCCCAAAATGAAATATATTTTGTATGCAGATCTTTTATCCAATGAATAACTAATGTAACAATCATTTGTCCATATTAGTATGATTTTTGGACTAATTTATTTCTTAAAAAGGGTATATATGTTACAGTAAAAGTTGGAAATCATTTATTATTAACAATTACTAGTAAAAGCTCACATTTACTGATTAGCTAAGAATAAACCAGTAAAAGTTCAACAGCTATTTTTGAAACCAACTTTTACTAGTGAACGCTAGCATTTCCTGGACGATAGCCGTGAATTTGAAATATTCAGTTAGCGTGGCAACCGCAATACTGTAAAATATGGGGATAAATAAGGATTAGTTGAATAATAGGCAATATAACATTAAATTGGACTAAAAGTTGGCAACATTGACAGGCATCTGGTATAAACTCGTTTTGTTTTTTGTGGGTATGTGTAATTGTTATCGTTGTAAAAAGTGCTGTGCAGTGTTTTCCCTATGGAAGAAATTTTCTGTGAAAAATTAAGGTAAACTAGGCACTCGCAAGAATGTAATAGTGCTTGTTTTTTATTTTTGCAATATAATGAAGTCATAGCAAAAGTTAAGCATGCAAGAGAAAAAGATATTAGGGAATCTAATGACTATGAACTTATTAAAAGTTTTGATATGGTTAAAGTGGCGGGTTTGAAAAAACGAATAACTCCCGTTGAAGAAAATTCGGGCTTACTTTATTTTGTCCACAATGAAGAACTTTATGAAAAAACCTTGTACTAATAAGTAATCTTATGTTTATAATTTTTTTTTTAAATTGTCTAAAATGTTTATTATGTTTTCCCTTCTAATATTCAGAAGATTATAATATGTCGTTATATTCTATAATTTTTAATAAATAATATACTAAAGAAGTAAATTATAATTTTGAGATATGTGGATCAGCTTGAATATTGAGGTGATCCTATATTCTTAAAAGTTTTATTTGTTCCAACTTCCAACATTCTTCCTCGCCACACTCGCCCTATACAATAGAATAACTTTTACTGGTAACCTTTAGTAAATGTTACTTTCACTATAGTGAATGTTAGAAATTACTAGGAAAAGTCGATACATTTCTTTAAAATACGACTTTCACTGGTCCAATGCGTAATTGTTAGCATTTCCTAGTGAATGTTAACAATTACTGAATTTCCGACTTTCACTGTAACATATACATAAGAAAGACGATTGATGAAGTCATTGTCGAAGACAGAGATGATAAGATAATTGAATATATCTGAGATGTTTTCAAAAAGAATGAAACAAATTTACTACTAAGACATATTCATGAAATTGAAAAAAATACATATTCACAATAATGTATTTATTGGTTTATTTTGGTAGGATTTTCTAAGTTCTATGATCGTACTACCGACACTGGCATCGCCACTACTAAACTGAAGAAGATCTACGTCGAGACAAAACAACAAAGCCTAGCGAAGTTCGAGGATGTTCTGGGTGAAAAACCGCCACCAGCATTTGTTAACAACAAAAAGAAAAGTAAGCTTGAATTATGAAAGTAATAATAATTGTGTTTAATATGGTAATTTGTCGACTCCCTAAATTATTCATTGAAACTCCATATCTTTAGATTTACTAAACATTTTTAAGTACTTTGTTGCCTGTTTTAAAATATTAACGAACATATTTTAGCGAGTTTCACTTTTTCAACTCTTCTGTATACAAAATAACATTTAAAATTCAACTATAGTCGGTCCAACGAGAGGATACACATCTATATTTATTTCGTCATTTTTCGATGTCATCTGTCTAAATCTTCACTGGTTCGTTGGACAGACTTTTTCTAGATATATCCAATTTTTTTGGATACTTTCTGGTATTTGAGAATATTAATTGTTTTAGATGAGGAGGAAGATATAATCCGTTGCATCTGCGGGATTCCCAGAGATGAGGGCTTAATGATTCAGTGTGAAAGGTGTATGGTATGGCAACATATAGAATGTGTCAAAGCTGACGCATCTGTGGCGAGCTACCATTGCGAAATATGCGTCCCCAGGCAGGTGGACTATGAGATTCCGATGGATGAATTTACGGAGCATGGCCACAGGTAAAATTGTTATAAAAAATCGAGGGGTGTCTCACTTGGGTAAAAAATGTACATGTAATTTCTACAGTGGTACATCCCAGGTAGAAAATAAAAAGAAACTTTTAACGTAAAAGATGTTAACCCTGAATTCTATTACAAATTTACAAATCTACTTGGCAGGTACTACATGACACTGATGAGAGGTGACTTGCAACTACGTCAAGGTGACACTGTCTATGTACTCAGAGATATACCCATACCGGGTACCGATAAGAAACACACGTACGACACCATCGGCAAGATAGAATACTCGGAACTGGACATTTTCCGAGTAGAGAGGCTGTGGAAGGACAATTTTCACTATTCAACCCTTCATATCTACGGAGAGTTACAATTTTGCTGAAGCAGTGAAGAAAAGGTTGCTGGTATCGGAAAGGTTTAGTGATAGAAGAATCCCTGCTTTGACAAGGTAAGTTGTTAATTAATTTTAGCCTCAATATTCATCTATTTGATCATCATCATTTTCAGCTTATTCAACCATTTCCAATGATGGTGTAGCCTCCCTCACATATTTAGATACTCTCTTTATAGTTGGGTCCATTGCTAATTTCCTAATATCATGGTCCCATCTCAGGTTTGGTCTTCTTCTAGGTCTCTTAATTCCTCGTAGGTACCATGCTGTAATTTTTGTGGTCCAGTTGTTGTCCGTCCTTCTTGCCAGGTATCCTGTCCATTGCCACTTGAGGAATTTGTTTCTGTTGATGACATCTATCACCTGGATCTTTTGTTGTATCAACTCTATTCTTTTACGGTCTTTTTTGGTTATTCCCAGCATATTTCGTTCCATTGAGCGTTGTGCGACCTGCAGTTTCCTTATAATGTCCGTTTTAAGTGTCCAGGTTTCGCATGCATAGGTCATGACTGGTAGTACACATTGGTCGAATGTTTTCTTCTTTAGATAAAGTGGCAATCTAGATTTGAATATGATCGAGTTTCTTCCATAAGTACTCCATGCTAACTTAATTCTTCGGTTGATTGGTAGTGAGATCTGGTAGCCTTAATTCTTCGGTTGATGATGGTAGTAGAGATCCCGAGCTGTGTATTAGTTGTCCAAAATACACTATCGGACAAAAATAGAGCAACACTTCGAGTATTTGCAAATCGCGATTTTTTAATTATACATGCATGATAATGTATACAAATACAATAAATTTAAAACTAGCTAACTAGCTAAACTAACCATTTACTAACCATGACAGCAAGAATTTTTACCAAACCAAACCAAAACAAAACAAATTAATTTATTTTGACATTTAGTTTTAAATGCTTTACGCGTCAAAAGTAGAGCAACATCATTCATTCTAAAGAAGGATTTTAGCAAAAGTAAAGGCCAAAATAATTGTGCGAGGTTTATTTTATGTTTTTTAAACATTTCTATACTCATGCCAAGAGGAATTCCAATTTCAAAAGACTTGAAGCAAATATTTGTGAATGCATTTATGGAAGGTAACAAACAAGCCGATATTTCAAGACAGTTTGTGCTACCCAGGTACACTGTATCTAAAATAATTTCATCGTATAATGACACGGGACACTTAGAAAAGTTGCCAAAATCGGGAAGGCCAAAGAAAACAACAGTAATGACCGACAGACGCATCAAAAGAATTGCTCAAAATGATCCTTGGAAGTCCGCACCTAGAATTATTGCCGATATTCCAGAAATTACGGTTGGTATACGAACAGTACAAAGAAGATTAGTAGATGCAAAGTTATTTAGTAGATATTCAGCCAAAGAGTTTCGGAAAGAAATAGAGCAACAAGGTTGGCATTTGCACGTCGGTATTTAGACTGGACCGTCAATGACTGGAAAAAAGTTCTGTTCAGTGATGAAACGCGTTACAAAATATTCAATTCTGATGGAATGAGACGTGTGAGGCGACCAATCAATACAAGGTTTAATCTTAAATACGTAACACCTACAATTAAACACGGTAAAGGCAGTGTATTTTTATGGGGTTGTTTTTCATGGAATGGGATAGGCCCTATACACTTTATTATTGACACGATAGACCGATTTGTTTATAGGGATATCATGCAGAATGTTATTCTTCCTTATGCAGAATGGGAAATGCCACTGCGTTTTATTTTCCAAAAGGACAACGAGCCAAAACACTCTTCACAAGTTGTTCAACAGTGGTTTAGGGAAAATGACGTTCGAGTTTTGCAATGGCCAGCACAATACCCAGACCTTAACCCACCTTAGCACAATACCCAGAAGTTGATTGCTTCAATGCCGCGCCGTTGTCAGCAAGTTATTAATAATAATGGATATTCTATCAATTACTAATGTATTATTATTGTTCTTAAATATGTTAAATATTTTTTGCTGAAATAAGACACAATAAAATCTGTTGAATACAATTTGTTGCTCTACTTTTGTCGCCCCCATTTTCATCAATTTTTATAATCATTGTTATTTACCATTTTTAAACTGATTAAAAGTATCTACACCAAAATTTTGTAAAATATTACTTTTAGTATAAGGAAAGTGTGTTAGTAAACATAGCCGAAAATGACAACCTAATAATTTTTTTTATTCAAACATGAATAAAAATGAACTTTATTGCTCTACTTTTGTCATATAGTGTATTTGTATTCTTCTACTATTTCCAGTTTCCAAATAATTGTAGTGATTGTTTGTCCATCTCGAGAATTTATACAAATTTCGCCAATTGAGCAAATAAAGGCAATGTATTATATCTTATGTGATAAAGTACTTTCTTTCAGATACAAAACCTTACAAAGCGCTGGCGTCTTAGACGTAACCAACAACCGTACCATTCCATGGCTCCTGGACAAACTGAGATCTGTCATGAACAAATACAAATTCAACGCTTTCTACGTCGACTTAGGGTCAGCCTACGACATGCCCCATTACTACCAGTGCGAAAAACCGCTGGTCAACCCTGACCAGTACAAGAGCATGTTCGTCAACAGCATCCAGAACTCTATCAGCATTTTCGGAGTGAGCGATGCAATAGAGAGACCCAGGTCGCCTAGTTTCGTGGCTTTGCCAAGGTTCGAGTCAAGCTGGGACGGGTTGCGTAGGGTTATACCTACGATACTGACGTATGGAATTATCGGGTAAGGAGAATTACTGGAATACAAGGTTTCCTATACAGGGTGAGTCTTATATAAGCGCAAATATTTTCAGGACTGGTAGATCTTCATAAAAGAAACATATTTTCTCTTTACCAAATAAATCCAAAATAACCGAGTTATTTTATTTTGAAAATGAAAAAAAAATGATTTTTTGCTTTCACTATATTTTGGAATTCGCATAATTGAATAAAGCAATTAATTCTAGAATTTTCTGCTATCTCACTTTCGAAAAACTTGAAATCGTTCTTAAGAAAATAAATAAAAACAAAAAAGCCCAGAATAAAATCCGCACTTTTTAATACGTCACACCTGGCATGTTAAAAGGCGGCAACACACACACACACACACCGCCGGGCCACCAAAATCGTTAACCATTTCGGCGTCAACTTTAGGAAGGTTATCAGATGACGCCTTTTCGAATCCAGGTTCTGATACGACTATGATGGAACAAATTATCAAAAAATAACAATTTAAAACTTAAAATTTGATTACAAACTTTCACAAACGGAGTAAATAAAAAATTTAACCTCAAATTTTATTATTCAACATGCACGTCAAATCTTCGTCAAATCAAATCGCAATGTTGCCAGTTGTTGGCTGGCGCACGAGCACAGTTCTGCAATGTGATTGGGCGTATTTTTCATACGTCATCAATTGGCACTTTAAAATTATTTCAAATTAAAGGGACTTTACTACCGCTGTCCCGTTCAAAATATTCTAATAAAGTTGTGATGAGTTTTTTTACGGCTATTAAGCTATCTTGTATACTTCGTAATAAAAGAGGTTCTAAAAAGGACAATATTCGACTCCTAGGTCTGCTAGTAAACATTTTCAAGCTTAAAGTATCACATCACTATTTATTTCAACCAAAAACTCGTAATACAAAATTAAAGTGTCAAAACGAATGGCAATGTCAGGAAATAAATAAATAAATGCGACAACTTCGGATGTTTTTTACAGCAGAGCTACCACCTGAATCCCCAGCGCGAAATTTGAATTCCAGTTAGTCATCACGGCGCCGAATACGTTCATGGTTGGCAACAATGAATTTAAAAGTCGCGCCCTCAATTGCGCAACTAAAAGTTTAATTGATATGAAATATATGTTGCCATATTATCAAGATATGTTTTTAACTAAAAATTAAAAAAAAAATCCAAATTTTTCAAAAACATTTTTTCGCGAAAAAACCTCATAGTCGTGTTTCTGGGGTCAAACTATACCACCCCTAAAAATATTGCACTTATTTAAGACTCAGCGTGTATAATGGCTGATTCACAAAGTATAGAAACCCAATATTCTGTTCTAGATATCCCTTCCTCATTCCTGGTGCTGTTGGTGGAGACTACGCCTCAATTGACACTGTCATCGGTCAAGTTAATGGCAGCATCCACGGCCTACCCGACCAAGAACTCTACATCAGATGGCTGCAACTCTCAGCATTTCTACCGGTGGTCAGGTTCAACAGATTGCCCAATAGTTATGGAGATAAAAAAGTGTTGGACAGCGCTATTAGTTTAGCTCTTCTCAGACAAAATCGAGTAAGTCCTATCATTCATCATCATCATCATCATTTTCAGCTTATTCAACCATTTATAATTATGGTGTAGCCACCCTCACATATATTATGGTCCCATCTTAGGTTCGGTCTTCTTCTAGGTCTCATAATTCCTCGTGGGTACCATGCTGTATTTTTTTTGGCCCATCTATTTTACGTCCTTCTTGTCAGGTATCCTGCCCATTGCCATTTGATTCTGTGGATGATATCTATTCTTCTTCTTTCTTTACGTGCCATCTCTTTTGTCGAGGTTGGCGATAACATTGACAAAATCTTCACGATTCTTGGCTTTCCTTATGAGTTCTTCAAACGTTAGGTGAGTCCAATTTCTGATGCTTCTTAACCAAGATAGTTCCTTCCTGTCGGGACCTCTTTTTCCTTCAATTTTGTCCTTAACTATTAGTTGTAAGACGTGGTATTTTTCATTTCTCAATATATGTATACCCTAAATAAGATGTTTTTCTTATTTTTAGGGTTCCGTACCCAAAGGGTAAAAACGGGAACCTTATTACTAAGATTTTGCTGTCCGTCCGTCCATCTGTCACAAAGGTCTATCTTATGAACCGTTATAGCTAGACAGTTGAAATTTTTACAGATAATGTATCTATGTTGCCGCTATAAGAACAAATACTAAAAACAGAATTAAATAAATGTTTATAAATAAAAAAGTACTTTCACTAAAGATTATCTTTTAAGTAAGAATTTTACATAGAATCTTTCAAGTCCTCGGTGGCCGCGTGGTTAAAGCGTTAAGATTTTACGCTGCTACGTTGGAGCCGTAGTAAGGCAGGTTCGAATCCTAGTCAAGGTGACTTTTTTTAATCGTTTTTTTTTAATTTTTACATATTTTTACTTTTTACATATTTATTATTGATTAATACAATTTTTAGTAATGTGTTTCTTCATTTTTTTTAAAATATAAGTACGCCCATTCAAAATTTAAGCTAAATGGGAAAAAAAAGTTTATAATAATATAGCGTCTAATGTTGTATAGATAAAATGAATGGTACGGAACCATAGACTTAAAATAAAATATAGACTACACTATTTACATCTCAACGCGGACGAACAACCTTTTTTGTACACATGTTTACTTCTGGGTACAGTCGACCGAGCCTTCCTCATCCAGCCTATGTTGTCACGTCTTTAATATTATCAATATTTTTTTTCTTGTTATACACATATATTGAAATATTAATACTACAGTTTAATAAAGTAGGTTTTAATATTCCATAGATGTATTAAATAGTCCTTATACTACTAAATTATAAGTCGGA